AAGCACAAGTGATGGTTTTGAAAACCCATGAAAACAAAACCCCATGGTATTGTGACTCTCCATTATCCTGTTTTAACTTTCTAACATTGTTGACTGGTTTTAGTATAGTATGTTTTTCATGTTGCGTTTTATATTTGTAATGCAGCCATCTTGCCAGGTTGCTCTTAAGGGGTTGTTAACCTCAAAGGAACTCGCCTAATAAAATAAAAAATACATTTAAAAGTCTTAGTTTTCCGAGTATGCCCTAGAAAGACTGGGCAACAAAACAGTCAAGTTTTTCAAGTCAGTATTTTCATTACCGCCTTGGAGCAGGACACCCAAGAGTTTTCTTCTTAAAGCTGCCATGTGGAAAATCTGAAAAATGTCCGACTTGGGCTCCCACAGGTGGCGCCATCAACCAAGATATTGTGGCAGGAAGGAATATGTGCCGTTTTAATTTATGTACTGGTGCTGCAGTTTTCTTTTTTCGTAATATATTTGTTTAATTATGTTAACTAATGCTAGACTAGTTTTATTTAATGTTCAATTATTTATTTATGAAGTTTGGTTTAGTACTATGGAAAATTTTAATACATACACTTTAATGATTTTATTTCCAGAACAGTTTGAGCTGAAACAATTATTCCATTAATCAGTCAATAAAAACATAACAGCTATTGTGATAACCGATTCACCACTGAGGTCAGCCATTTGCTGATTCCAGCTTGTGACGATTTGCTGTAGTCTTTTGGTTTTGCAGTGATGTTTGAACAAATCTAATTTGATACCATCACCTTGGACTTCAAGAAATTGTGATTAGCATTTTTCACTAATTTTTGAACTTGTCCAGAAAATAAATAAATCAAGATTATTGATTTTTGTTATTTACAGCCTGTAACAATTTTGTCACTTGTTTTTGATGTATTTGAGCAAAAATACCAAAAAAAGTTAACATGAAAAATCTCAATTTATCAATCCTATATTTGTATTAGAGCTGTAACTGTAAGTGATTCTTTTCATTGTGCATCTGCATATTTTCTAATTATATTTATATATAATTCAAATATTTATTTATTATACAAATATTTATATATTTTCTAATTTATAAACATCTGGTTTATAAAACAGCAAGAAACTGTCAAAAATGTTTACCAGTGTTCTTGAGTACAAGACAACAAGAGTATTTTAGTAGTATTAGCAGTATATATAGTAGTATACAGTACATAGTTTATTCAACATACATGTAAAACCTATAACAGTAAAGGACAACAAAGTCTTAATCAAGCTCTCGTGCTTGTGTTCACATTCAAAGCTAATTTGTCAATTCTTTTCTGATCGATCCTCTTGAAACCTTAGATTACAGTAGTTCAATTTTACTGAGGCAGATGAATTTGATACGTTATAGGTCTTTCAACAGAAGAGGTAACTGATCACATCTACCAACTTCCATCATGAAGACAAATCAAAGTAATCACATTTTTTGATTTTACTGTTACATACACAGTATACCTAAATTAAATTTAACAAAGCAAACAGCAACTTTAGTGACATTCCTGGAAAAATAAGGACTATGAGAAAAACGGAGTATCCTAGCATACAGCAGTGTACAGCATACAGAAAATTGTTTGGTGTATAAAATAGTAAACATCCTGAGCACGTAAGAAGCAACACTACTTATCTCTCCTTCTCTGTTCAGTTAAAGGGCTGTTTCTCAGTGGTCAAAT